AGACAGTACGACAACAGCTGTGGGAGGTAGACAGTACGACAACAGCTGTAAGAAGAAAGCAGTATGACAACGGTTGGGATAAGCACATACACAGACTGAAAGTGCACTCGAGCATTGATTGATAAGAGAACATAACATGTCTTGCTATCTTTGCATGAAACAATGGAGTAGCATGACTGAGCATGTGATGCAAAATGCTGCTTATACTCAAAGGTTAGAGAGGTGAAACAAATAAAACGGACTGGCAAAAAGTCCACCAGACTACTTCTAGGACAATGGTTATTAATAACCGAAAGTTAGAATAAATATTTATCGTTAATGACGGTCAAGTTTTTCAAGCAACCTTTAAATTAATTTCATCATACCAGCCTCCCAGGCCAAGTGTTAGACAATTCCAGATATTCAACTGTTCAACTATTTTATTTACGGTAATAATAATAAATAATATGATATAAGAACTTTACTGCGATAACATAAGCGCCTCATTATATGAAATTATCCTATCAATATACGGGGTTTTCACAACATAAGACATGCCGCTTGAAATTTAACTGTCAAAAAATTATTCAGTGCGTTTAGTACGTAGCTGCAAGAATATATGTGGGAGGTAGACAGTACGACCACAAACACTGACTCCGTTTTGTTAACAGGATGACTAATGAAGACCTGCGCTCGATAATTTCATTTTAAAACTGCAGTTAGCTGATTCAATAATGGTAATAACACAAAGAAGCAGTTGAGATGAATGCGGTCATAACAAGGCCTGGTAGTGAAACGAAAGAAGGACCAATTGGCAATTAAAACTACTTACGTGAACTTCCACTCCATCTTGCACAGTCAAAACGTATTTGTGAACCGGCACTGTTTTGCCCGATTCTGGGTCAGTGTAATTACCAAACAGTTCTTTTGTCACCCCCATTCTATTTTGCAGAGGATGAGATATTTTAGAGACGGGTGAACTGGTGAAGTACAACCAGCACGCTGGTTCGAGTGACACTAGTACGGATGGATACTCAGTGCCCACTTCTCAGCACAGTGCCGGTGGCCAAACAAGTTTCAATAGGTCCGCATTGAAATTCACGCATCCTGTAATTTAAATGCTACAAATGAAAACTACGCGACTACGAGGATGATCATTATCTTATTAGTTTTTACTCGTTATTTTTCATTTCTAACTGTTTAAATTTTCAATTTGAGGCAAACGTATGTACAAAATTCAATGCGTTCTGATTTTTTAATAATACGATACATCCCTCAATATCAGATTATTTCAGGAGTAGTTTACGATGAAACTGAGAAAAAAATTGATAGATAATATCGACCAAAAGGCGGACATATGCAAGGATCCTACTCTGCGTTCGATTTGCATTTGCGTAGGCACCGTAGCATACGTTTTGGTGGGCTTGTAAAGTGTAATTTGGTCTCCACTTTACAGAAGTCCGTGGTCACTTTTAAGGCGCCAATACTTCAGTCGGTGGCGCGCCTCATCGTAAACAAGTAAGTCACATTTTTTGCAAGTACTGGTCGCCTCGAGTCTTTCGGAAGGGGATAACCTGGGGAAGGATAATGCTGCTACAACTGTGAAATTGTGAATGCTAGCACTGCCAGTGCCAGCCTGCCAGGTGTGACAAGTGGCCTGAGTGCGCAACAATACAACAAACCAAACATCATCATCCACTGTACACTACATTGACTACAATCAGTACAATGCGTCGGTGCGAGGTTTATCAAAGGTGTGTTTGTTTATCTTTTTGAAGTGTGTAGAAGTAGAAGCGTGGTGTAGCATTGGTGCTACCTAATTGCTGATGAAAGTTATGAAACAACTGGTAAGAGTTGTGCTTGTGCCAAGTCATCAGTCATTACTGATGACTTGCAGTTTACCCTTAGGCCTTAAGTTACCTTTCACTTTCAACAATGTATCAGTTGTGTGAAAGGTTTAAGGTTACCTACTTAATTAGCATAGTGATTGCCAAAAAGAATGTCTAGACTAGACATTAGTCTAATGATTATTAAAACCTAGTCTAGAGTGCCTCTAGACTGTGACTAGACAGTCGAGTCACAGTCTAGACTATAACTTTACCAACTTCATGCCACTGCACCTTGCCACTGGCCCACTTGCCAGTTGCCAGGGTAGTGATGTTTCTATTTAATGTTCTGCCGTGGTTCTTACATGATCGTACCTTCATGGTTTTGGCATGGCTGACACTCCCATCATCCCATGTGCTTGCACTGTGGGGTGGAGGATACCATAGACTAGAGCATTTTCTCCAAGCATGCACGGCTGCACGCAGTACCGCCTGGAACGTCAGGTGCTGATCAATAGTACCCAAGCCTTGGGTGTCCAGCATCCATCTGTTCAGATACTTCTTGGAGGAGGCAACTTATGCATAAATGTTCAGCATGCAATAATAAGAGCAACAGTCATCTATTTAACACAGACAAATTGCCTGGCTTCTCTGTAATGCACAAGTAACATCTTGGTTTTAGCTCAGTCCAAAAGCTATAAGCCCATTGAATAAGATCTCAAAGAACCAGTGAAATAATACTGAAACTTCCCAAGTAAATACTGCTGAGTCCAGGTGTAACAAGTGGTCATCGGGCGGCTACTTCCTCACCTTCAAGCTGCTAACAACAACTATTTAATGTTGACTAAACATTGATTAAAATGTCTATCAAAATTTAGAAAAGAATATTCATGATTAAAAAAAATTTATTTACAAAATAATATAAAATTTTGTTGCAAATTCTGATGATGACAGTTTTTTATTAAATTAATAATCTATATATTTGATCATGCCTTGTTCTTGTTGCAGAAAAGAATGCAACAGGCCTAACCAGTAACCACTACCAGGCTTATTCATCAACAGCAAAGATGCTATGCTATGCAGTGTTCTACTGTAGCTACACCAAGTTGACAAAGAAACAGTTGGGAATTAAGATGAACTGGTGGGATCATTGCAGAGCTGCAGAGGTGGCAATCCATTTCAGAGGCAGTGATCCCTTGTGGCCTGGGAGCTGGGACTGCTACATCCAAAACAAATACTAAGGATACCAAACAAGAAACTGCATCATCTAATGCTAATCATCATCATCGAGAGGATAGCTGCTATGAGTTTGACAAAAGGCTGAGTGTCAGCTAGACTCACAAGTCTGCTGGTAAGAGACAGACAGTAAGAGCTGTGTCAAGTCAGAACTCAGAGAGTGTGTAAAAAAACTAATGTTACAAGGTTTTAATTTTTCAGGAGGACATGACTAACATGAATCCTAGTCTCCATTCAATGTTTCATAAATTGAATATAGGAAACATTATTCAATTTTACCTTCACTTACTTTAATCAGTTCATTACAGCTTAAAGTTGTGAGATCAACAGATGTTTTTAGTTGGTTCTCTTAGTTTTTAACATAGTCATGCATTTAATGTAGACTGTAGGTGGAATCAGCATTCATTATGGACTTGTATTACTATGATTAATCAGAGGGAGGTATTTTACAATAGCATTTCATCAATATGTGGTAGTTATGTATTGTGTGATTAAATAAAAAATTTATATTTTTTCTAGCTCAGTCCTGGAAACTACAACTGATCCAGATTTGCAGTTGTCAAAGTTTCAGCAGTCAGAGCCTCTATGGAATCAAGAAGTGTGAGAGATGAAGAAAATCTCTGTGAAGGAAGAACCATTTCTTACATGATGAGGGGTATAAATTTGAAAATGTGTGAAAATTTGATTCATTTTTGAGAAAAATATGGGGATAAATTATGATGCAAATTATTTATTAGTTATAGGCATCCTAAATGAGGTCAACCTTTTTTAAAGACACACTTTAGTGTAGACTTGTATTTCTTCCCCTTATATATTTATATTTATTTTGTTAAAAATCATTGGTAAAAATGTTGGGCCTCATTAGAGAATATTCAAATACAATTATGAAAATCTCATTACTTCTCATTTAGATTTATTCTAACTTTCATTTATATGGCACTGAAATCTAAAACAGTTGTGGCAGGATTGATCAAGTAAGCCTGTCAGCTCTGGATTTGGGGGCCAGCAAGCTTCATCTCCCACATCCACCATCATGTGCACAATGAAAGCTCCAACTGAGGCTCGTGATGCACATGGCTGGCTTGGCTCACTAACCCTCTCCACTGCCCTTGGCATTGCCTAAGAAGGCTAAGATGCTGGTGGGCAAATTAGTCTCAGGGTGATACTAGACTTTGAGATGTAAAGTTGTCAAGCATGTTCACTCTTATTTTTGTTCAATAAATTCAATTGATTTATTTCAGACTTTGGTAAATATCATTTAATAGAGTACCATAATATTGTAGTTAATGGAGAAACATTTCACTTGGCATTAGGGAGAAGCAGATTTGAGGATGGGTGGCAAGACGATTTCATTTTCTGCACTGCCAGGCTGCATCCTCAACCATAAATGCAACCAAATGAAGCACAAACAGCCTTGAAGCTACCAAGGCTGAGTGCTTACTACACCGAAACCATTAATGATCAAGAGTGCCAGTACAATGATAGATTTTTCACCCGTGCAGATACTAAATTACTTCCAAGATTGGTTTGCCTACCAAATTCAAAAGGAGTACTCTAAAATGGGTTAAGACAAGATTGAGGGAAGAAAAAAACAAGCCCGTGCTGGACATTATATTAGTATTAGATTAAATTTCATAGTAGAACCTATTAGAACATTATTTTCAGTTATTCCAGTGTATGTTTTCACCCTGTGCTGCCTATAATAAATCAGTGAAAACTTTTTATTATGTAATAATATAGAGTAGATTCAGAAAATAGACTCAGAAATAAGTAGTGTCTTGGCTCATAAATATTTTCCCTCCAATTTCCTTGATATGGGCAGGTAACCTGTCCTAAAAAAAATACATTTACAGTATTAGCATACTAGGCCCTCCAATCTATCAATGTTACTGCCCTACATGCCAACTGGCGCTGTGACATTTGGTAGATCATGTTGCTTTCTGTCACTTAGATTTTTTATGCCTGTTACATGTGCCTGCTAAGTTGTAAAATGATATATTATTTGCTTTTAGCAGGCAAATTGTCAGCTAAATTGTCAGCAAATATCAGCTATTACAAAATTACTCAATTGGTCACTGAAAATTATGTCTTGAAGTACCATGACAAAATTGCATGGTAAACAGCAAGGAAGACAAGAAAACAACTTGAGCTAATAGTTCTTTAATAATACTGCATTATAGACGTTCTTGTAGGAGTTGGAATCTTTCAATTGAACGAATACAACTTGAATTACATCTCGAGCATTGACATTAGCGTACAAACTTAAGTTAGATTTGATATATACCTACAACAGTCCTTGACTGTCACCCATTCTCATCCATACCTTGAGCGGTTCAACTGCAACAGAAAAGTTGCCTGATTGAAGTACCTAGTGTTGCGAGAATGGCTATCAGTAGCAATCCTGATGATTATTTGGCTACTCTTGGCGTTGGTATTAATTATGCCAAAACTGACTATAAAATTTATTTTGTATATATTGTATATTTTTGCCTGCAGATTATTAATTTAAATTTTTTACAAATCTTTAGAAGTCTACAAAATTATGTAAATATCGCCGTGGCCAGTAAATAGCACATTATTGCCTAATGATATAATCATGCTGTAGGAATTGTTTCCTTCTCTTTCGTTAAAATTATATTTTTTATGACCGTGTTCCAGGAGACGCTCTTGACAGCAGCGGCGCGTCTGGAGCGTCCAGTTCCGACCAACTCACCGAGACGCTTGTCTTTTCCCGGCATTGATTTTGTGGAACTTACAACCGCGACTAAATCGTTGTGTTCTTTAGAAGCCTTTGTCGGAAACAAGGCATTGTTGCTCGGTTCATGATTATTCTTTTGTCAATGAAAAATCTCTGAAGAGGCATGGTCTTCTAATGCACTTTTTACCTTTAGTCACTTGTCTGTTATTGGTGTAAATTTGCTTGCAGTGCATAGCGAAGCCTTGTTCAACAAGTTTTAACCGTATAAATTAAAATCATTGCTTCTGAAAGTATAGATATGTATTGCTGCAATTCGGGTCATGCCCACAAAAAGTTAATTAATCCCTGTGAAATTAACGTATATGGCCAATTAGTCTCAGTGCGGCCGGAGAGGAGGAATTTCTGTGCATCGCTTTTGCGACGAAAAATAATTCCAGAGAACAAACTGTCTGTCGCGATGGTGCCAGAAACTTCAGTGTTGTAAAGTGTACTGTCTAATCAATAATCAGTCTTAAATAAATTCGATTCTCAAATAAAACTTAGGAATTTTACCCCGCTTATTATTAAATTCATAAACAATGATAGAAGACACTGGGATTTTAGGCCAATATTAATAGAAAATACTGAGATTTTAGGGCAATAATAATAGGAGATGATTTGATTTTACAGCAATAATAATGGAAGTCCGAGATTTTAGGGCAATAATTTAACCAAGAAAATATAGAAGTTTAAATCCTGTTGCGAGCTGAAGACATTTCATATTATATCCTGTAGAACAACGGGATTCGAGAATTCCTGGAGAAATATTTCAGTATCATGAATCACGGTTACAATATAAATAGAAACATGACAAGTTAGCCTTTGATTTTTGCTCATAGTGCTGAAGCTACTCGCGGCCGTGTCTATTTTGGGTTATTTTGGTAGCTTGAAGACAGCTGTGACGTGATTCTTATTTACTATTGTCAGCTTTTTTTACTATATAATACCTTCATACTCTATATATTGTTCACATCGGGAAATTTAAGTTTTGTGCATCCTATTGAAAACAAGGCAATGTGTAATGCAGTTTCAAGCTCTGAAAATAAGTGTAAATTTTTGTTCTTGGAATTTCTATTACTATTAGTACATAATTAGTGATATTAATTCATTTGTAAATTTCGAAGATCTGGCCAGGCTGGCCTGAGTAGCTAGTGTTGCTACTATGTGCAGAGTTGTTATTTTCACAGTACAGGTACTTCGTACACCCATAATTATAATGAAGAGATGTTTCCTTATAAGCACTACTCATTAATGCGGCACTAACGTAAAGTGTGGACACTGCATTACTTCTCATGGTCACATTTCGTTTCATATTTTCTTTCTACATTTTTATAAAAACGACTGTTGCTTTGAAACTATCCCAAAATAGTTTATGAATTATTTCTGTCTTCAAAATGCGTATGGACTGGCCACGTATACTGCACATTCGTCACCATTTTGAGATACAAACATTTTGATTATTCATTACCACTGTTTATAGTTGATTTTTTCACAGTTCTTGTGCCTTTTCTTTCTTCATTCTGTCTTCCTGGAACAATTAGAGATAATTTTTAAATTTAAAATCTCTGTTTCGAAATTCAAATCGAGATGGATAATCCTTCTGCAGTTAATTTATATAATGCACAAAAATACAATGAACAGAGTTAACGTAAGTAGAAAAAGCTAATAATTTGAGCACATAAGGCCCATAATTTTGGATGCCATGCATTGTTTCAACGTCAATTAATAAAGTTTTCGATGCCTGTCCCTTTGCTGACCTTTCTGGTGACAGACATGGGCTGCACCCCCGTCCTACACGCTGGCACCGCCTCCCTACACACCATCTTCGTCAGCTGCTCAGGCGACGGCTTCTCATACCGCGTGTACGCCAGCAGGAGCGAAGTCGTCAGGGCCTCTTCGTAGTGTCCTGAGAGTGACAGCTTTGCTACAACTCTGTATTATTTAATATTGTCTATCATGGTATTGTGTGGATAGGATATAATTTTGGTGTGTGCCTTTATATAATTGTGCTTTTACTGGTACTCCATGCTTGTTACCAATAAATCATCATTACGCATTCCCTTCATTGGCTGCTGGAAGGTGGAGAGACTGGGTAAGCTGGAGGTACGGCCATAATGAGTTCATATTTGTAAAGTGGAAATAAGGAAAACCGGTCCGGTGTAGAGCTGCAAAATAAATTTGAAATCAAGGTTATTTTTAATATTTTGTTGTTCAATGTTGTTCACCAAGTATGCCAGTGCAGAGCTTGACCATCTTGGGCGGCGACAGGACGTAAGAGTTGAGCTTGTGGACGTTACAGGCGGTGAAGCAGGCGGTGTCAACGTGGTCTTTCATCGAACCTTCCTCGGCCTCCCATTTGTCCAACAGCTTGGACACCTCTGCGAAATTTGTGGGACTTTATTAGGAAATGCAAATTTAAGAGATTAAAGTCCTGCAAAATATTTACACTTTTACAGGGTATGGGATTATGTTGTCGGCTATATGAAGGCATACTAAGAACTTACAGGGGTTTAAATGACAGTAAAAAATTTACGAAAATTGTTTGTTGAAAGAATTTCACAAAGAAGCTATGCAAAATAATTGCTTATCTGCAGCTAAAATGTCACTATGTAACACATAATTGGGAAAGAGGAATTTGTGTTATTGAGGCATTCTGTTTGAGTGAAAAATTGTGAATAAACAGATTTTCAGGTGCACAAGTTATTTATTAGAAATTACTAATTTTTGAATTATTAATTATTGAATTATTAATTATTGAATTATTCGACTCACTCACCCATAACAAGGCCATAGCAACCCTCACAAAACGCTGCTGGGTCTTGAAAAAGTTTGTCTGCGGGAATTTCTGCCTTGGGACCGTACACAATCTGGACGGGAGAGGAAAATGTGACTGCGAAGCCTAAGCTGGCTGATTATATCAATATCATTGAATCAGGTGATCAACATTATAAATATTTAGGTCTATTGTCGTATCTTCTTTCTCTGAAGGTAGAAAGAGGATACGATTTGTAACTCAGTTTTGCTGTTTAAATATCAAGAACATAAGATTTAAAAATAATTATTTGACTGTAAAATATCTTGTAAAATCATGTGGGATGGGAAAAGTCCTATACTCAGCACAAAAAAAGGCGTTGCCGTTCAAAAAGTGTCACACTTCCCACAGCAGGAGCAGAGAGTGTGCAAAGCAATGATACGTTCTTTTAATAGGCCAAACTGGCTAAGGGTGGGCCTATCACTGGGTCAGAAAGGCAAAAAGTGCATTGATATTTGAACAAAGTTTCAATTTTTTATTTGAGTATATCTAAAAGGTCTAGAGAAGGAAAGTAACTGAGGGGATGAATTAAATAAGGAAACTTGTAAGAATTGTTCAAGCCCTATGAAAATTTTGGTTCGTGAATTTCTTCTAGAGTTTACAAAATTCCAGCGATAATTCATACCGATTTCTGAGATTTGAAAACAATGTTCGGTTGTTTTACCTGCCCGTCAGCGTTGACTTGAATTTCTGACAGCACTTCGGATTTTTTTGGTGCATTAGAAGACTTGATGCAGCTAACGGCGAGTATTAAACTTAATAATTTGATGAGGCAATGAAAAGTACGCTGATATGATGAAGCCATTTTCTAAAATACACGAATATCCTGGTTGAAAAAAAAATTAAGAAAATCCTGGGATTTGAATAGCCAGCTAATTTTTGAGATGCGAAAAACTAGGGGATAAGAGTATGTATAGTTGCCGAAATGAAAAACTATTCGGCTTTACAGACGGTTAAGTAGTGATAACGAGGCGGACGTTTAAATTACGTAATTAATTTTTTCAATACTTGATATTAGTCTGAGTATGGGTGCGACAATTTTAATTCGGCAATTCAGTATTTTGTTTACAATCATTAAATGGATAATGAATGTTTCGAAAAGTAATACGACTGGACGATTCCTTGAACCGTTGCACATCCTCGAATATAACCTACTATCCCATGTATTTGAACACACTGAATTTTCATGCACTGAATTGAAGTATGTAAGTCATGTTACTTAAGCACACTGAGTCATCAGGCACTGAAGTTTAAGGCACGTTGCTTGTACGTCAAGCGTCATAGACTGAGGTCTTTCTGCATCCGCCCCTAAGTCATGAAGCTTTATCAAAGTTCCTTATCATTTTCCTCTCAGGAACAAAGGCTTATCATTCAACTTATCATTCTCTTGTCTAGAAAAGCTTTCAAGTATAAAAACAGATTATACTGAGAAGCAAAGAATGGAGAAAAAAAATTTCCAAATATTTGTTTGGACATTCGAAAATAATGGATTGAGCTAGAATATTAGGGATTTATATAATTTATTTCATTTGCAATAAAATCTAACATTGTTGAAAGGACTTATTTTCTTTCAAGTAAAAAAGTATTTGGTCACATATATATTCTTAATCTGACTGATTTTTGCATGCATTAAGTTTGTACGTAGCCTGAAGAACCGACCGCAAAGTTGTCGGAGAAGTGGTTAACGAAATTTTAATTCCATTTTCAAATATTATTTATTTTTGAATAGAAAATTGAAATTTTAAATATATTATATGTAATTAAATTACTTAAATCAACCGAAAAACATATATTTTGTCAGATGTATTGTCTGCAAATTCTCGCGAAGTCTCGCGCAACGCGAGATAAGGGAGCTCGCAGCCTGTTGTAAACACGGCGTTTGTTTACGTATTTGTGTGGTGTGTCTTACTTAATTCAATCATTTATAGATTTTTGTACCCAAACCAACACCGTGTACTATGGCCACTGCAACTACGCAAGTAGTGCAAGGTATGTTCATGTTGTTTTTAAGATCTTTTATCGGTTCCTCTTAAATAAGATCAAATTGTAGAGGCATCATCTTTCTTTCAAAACGGACAGTTCTATAATTTAGGTAGCCTAAAAACTAATTTGCGCAAAGTTAACAACTATTACATATTTACATGATCTCTCCTAGTGAATTAGTATAAAAATTTATTTCTTCACAAGATCTTTACAACTGATGTGCCCTCATATGACTTCTTACAAATATTCTTCAGAAATTCTTGATGAGAATCAAACTTCAGTCTTCCATCTCTAAGGCTAAGCCTCTAACTCCAAGGTAGTTATTTTGAAAAATCTGCAAGAAAGTGATAATGTTTTAAGCCTAGCATATGAATCCAATTACCAGGGTGCAGAAAGTGGGTGAATACCTTATGATCTTTGGCAAAGCATCAGTAGCAAAAAGTCAAAAAGCAAGCCTTCAGAATTAGAAGATCTTGCCAAAAGATTTGGATATAAATTATTGCATTTTAGAATTTAGATATTTGCAAATCTTTGATGATGCTAACTGCTCACGGGTGGAAAAGTCCAACTTTTTCTGAAATATTGCAGCTCTAACAGGGTAAATGCACCATATTCCGACCCAGGGTGCAGAAGGTGGAAGCAGTGTCACCAACATAGTGGCAAATCAGAGATTTTTTAGAAATTGCTCTAATGTGACCGCAACTACATTTTGTTTACATTTTTTTGGCGGGAACTCATCGCAACCGATTTCCAGACAAGCTTTACTGCATCCTGATCCATCCAACATACCAGAAACCTTACTTTTTTTCTAAATAGTTGGCCGAAGACTGACAAATATATTGAATGCAAGAATTACAATCTAAATGTTTTGGTAAGATCTTCTGAAGGCGTAAATTTTGCTACTGAAGCGACTTGCAATATTCATCCACTCTCTGCACAGTGGATTCCGACATCGTGGGTAATTCCGACATCTCAACTCTTTCCTTTATATTAAGCTTTCAGCTTTGTCTTAGTTCCACGCATGCGTAGATGGCTGAAATAGTGACGTCATACTATTGCACACAATATTTCCGCAAAATACTAGGTATTGTGGGAAAATGTCAAGATCCTCGGAGCAAAAGTCCACATCACCCAGTGAGAACATTGAAAAACATATGAAAGTTGATAATTGACCTTGCTCTACCAAATAGTGATAAAAATGTTTGTGTAGAAAGAATATTATGGTTTGAAACTTTTGAATAAGTCTGTGAATATATTAGGAATCCTTTAAGTATACCTACTTGTATTTGCTGATTTTAAGTGGTAAATAAATTAATAGATGATTAAGTTAAGGGACGGTTTTAGACACATAAAAACTAATTCCGACATAGCTCGGAATTAAACACAGACAGCTCGTTCCGAGCTGTGTCTTATTCCGATACAGCTCACACAGAGTATCGGAATTCTTACAAAGGGCGTCGGAATTACGGATTTCGATTTTGAAGCACTGTCAGAACTCGGAATTAGTCTCACAAAATGCCGCATTTAGTCACACACATGTCGGAATTCAGCGATTTCATAGATTTGAATTCTAAAGGTTTTAAAATAAATATGGCCACAGTTTGTGACGTTTTATCATTGCTGGTGCATAGTATTGTGTTTAAAGAGTGACGTAAACCAATCAGAACTCAAGTTGCGCATATGGTGATCTATTTATAGCCATTTATTTCTTGCTACGTCCTTAAGGTGTTGGAATATGGTGTGTTTACCCTATCATATTTTACTAGGTATGAAATATCATGGCTCTAATGTCATGTATTTTTGTTTCATTGATAAAATCTTGGTTTGCACTCTGCAAACATGTTGTTTCATAAAATTTTCAACTAATATACTGCACAGCGTAACAAGTTAACCTAAAACATTTCATCATAGATCACGTAGTTGTGGTCACATCAGAGTGGTCATACTGCATTATCACATGATCAGTTGCCACTCAAGTGAAGACAAATGTTTGTGCTGACTGTTTTTAGGGTAAAATTAGAGATTAGGGGTAATACATGCGTGGGACTTGGTAAAAAGTTTGTGGCTGCTTGTGATTCAATTATCTACTGCAATACCTGAGGTGTTGAAGATACACTCATCAAATTACCAGTTCCCTTCTTCAGACAGAAACTGCACTATTAAGAAAAACCTTTTGGTTTTCCATTTAATATGCAAATTTTTGATAAACATTTTCTGTATTTAACCCTTAGCAAGATGAGAAAGAGCAAAATTTTCAGTGATATATTGTACCACCCAGGTCACTTTTTTTTGTGTTCATTTCAAAATTTGTAGCTCAGTTTTGTAGTTTAAATATCAAGAAAAGAATAATAATTTTAATAAGATTTAAAAATAATAATTTGACTGTAAATATCTTGTAAAATCATGTGGGATGGGAAAAGTCCTAACTTTCTCGAAATAATGTGTCTTTAATATTGAAATATTTTGTTTGGTAGCCTTGGTAGGTAAGATGGAGTGAAACCTTACAGTGTCAAAGGTCATTAGGAAATCCTATTTCTTACTTGAATTTTGCAACTCTAAATTGACTAGGTTGTATTTGATAGTGGGGGTGATAGGTCAGTTTTTCTGGGCACTTAAGGCCACTGTTAATTCTATGACATCACTGGCTTGCTGACCCGCCAGAACCATTTGATTGCATTACACAACACCCTGGACAAGCCAGGTACTCATTTATCAACCAGAGTTGGATGAATGGCTGAGTTGACCATGAGCCGAGCTTCCCAGAAGAACTTGACCTCGGTGGGACTCGAACCCGGGAGCTGGGTGCGAGAGACCGAGTCTCTCACCACTGCACCACCACAGCTTGAAAGGAAAATATAGCTTTAGATTTCTAGATCCAATTTGATATGTGCATTTGTTAATATATTATCCCTCTTGGATTCAACCATAAAACTGACACATTGCCAACAATTCTGGAATTGTGAGGGCTCAATTATGCACTTGGATTAGCAATTAGATTGAAGATAATTAAACTGGTGAAAACATGCCATGTTAAAAAGAGTAGGAAAGCTCTAGTTGTAGCTAAAAAAGTAGATTTATTTCATGCTGACCACACCTGGCTTCAAATGCATGTGTTCTGGTTAAATCCAAAATATTATTGCTGGTGAACATGACATTTAATACATTGTGAACTTACATGTTTCAGTAAACGGTATCTTGCACAGTGACCACTGACCATATGCTTTGCTCTACCATCTATGGTACACAAATTTGAAAATCGTTATTTATCCATTCATTTAATTTGAAATTTAATATTTGAAACAAAATTATCCTTGTTGTCTTTAAATTGAACACTGTAACTTATCTTCTATCATAAAATCAACAGCCAAAGAATTTGTCCGGTCTGTACAAATTTCAGACAGAAATAATGGCAAAGCATAGAGTTTTTTAGACTTCCTCAAGTTTAATATTGAGTTCTATCAGTAGACTAGTAAAGTATCATGGATACCATCATTATCATACATAAGATATTGGTTAAAATCTTGAGTAAATGAGGAAATTAAAAATGAACTGATACTATAAAATCTCTGGTTTGATTCTACTTGTTCAGATTTAGAAAAGGCAATATCTTATTACATTGGCCCCAGAAAGCTTCCAAATGTATAGAGGTTGTAATAGTTGATATAATTGACCCAAAGTAAAAAATTGGCAGAAACAATATGTGAATGAGACAAACTGCAGAGTTTGAATCTAAATTTTTTGTTTAAGAAAATGTTTCTTAGGTCATGATTTTGCCATCTTCTCCAAGTTTGCCTCCCACAGTCATAACAAGTTAGAAGTTTACAATAAATTCTATGCATGATAGTACAAAGGCACTATACATGATGGTACCAAGGAATTCAATGTGCCAGTTGTTGTGTAGTTCATACAGGTAAAGTTGTGTAGTTTATATGTTGTTGTTTGTGAAGTTTGTTACATTACATTGCTGATGGTTCAATAATGTATACGTAGGGCTTGTCCCATATTACATGCATATATACTTACATGGCTCCATTAAAAATGATTGAGGTACCTATACTATATATTTTATGGTCCATTTTATTTTTGTCTTTTATCTTCAATCAGTACAAAAAGTACATAAAAGATATGAAGATAATTTGATACATACTACATTAATTTCAATAACTGATTTAGTTCAGTAATATATTATGTTAACAATAACAATTCCGTAAGAAGGTTCTTGTGCAATGTCTCTGTTGTATTTTATTCTTCAAACAATACAAAAATGCATTTGATAATGGATAATAATACATGTAATGCAATAATAGTACTTTCCACTTTCTCAGGGAGCATGGAGGCCCGCAAGCGCCGTGCTGGCTCCTTGGGGTGAGTTATAACTCATTAGACCATTTTTTCTCATTAAGATCACGCATTAGACCATTTCAGTCTCATTATGATAACTCTCCTAATTATACACAGGCTGTTATTTAATTATTGTTTATATTCATATATTATTGCAGCGTGTCATGACTTGTCTTCAAGTATTCTTTACATTCATCTTATAGGAGGAGTATTTGATAGTGTTTGTTGTTATTTAGGTGTGGTAATTTCCTTAAAGTTTGTACACTAGGCCGACTGAATGAGATGGAAAACGATGCAAAAAATGTTAGTACATTTAACCATCTATAAATTATACCGATTGAATTACAACATTTCTTCCCCTCCTCCCTTAACGAGGGCTGGCTGGGCAGTCGATACTCAGATAAATGAGCGGCTCTTTTTGTCCAAATAGTGACCCATTTTTTATTGAATGAAGTAATCAGACATGGAACTGATACTCCTTTTTCCTGAGCCTAACTGGGCCAAAATAACTCATACTAGAGGAAAAAATGCATCGCTATTTGTACGAAATCCCATTCATTTCTGTGAGTGGAGAGCTCGATATATCCACGTACAACTATACTCTTAACTTCATCAATAACTCTGACCATGATATAAATTCATTCAATAATGATTACTATGCTCATTATTTCATCAACATTCAACAATAACTAATGTTTGTGTCTTGACACATACTTTTGTCTTTAAATCACTCGGAAGTGTTGTAACTTAAGAGCTCCAATTGACAGATGTGTTGGAACAGAACTTAACATTTGTAGGCACTTAACATTCTTTACGTAAAGTACTAGGTTATTAATAATTCTAATTTTCCGATATTTATGGAAAACTTGAAGATTTGTACGCATCTAGTGAGTCAGGCTGCCTTGCTGTCGCTGCAGCTATACTGTCACTCGTTATGTTGATTGCGGTAGGTGTGTAGCGTGCGTAGAGCTACAGGTGTGTAGCGTGCGTAGAGCTACAGGCGTGTAGCGTGCGTAGAGCTACAGGTGTGTAGCGTGCGTAGAGCTACAGGCGTGTAGCCAGAACTACACGCCTGTAGCGCGTGTAGCAGCAGGCGCACCATCACCCTGATCTCGATGCGTGACCAACCACTTGTCTCGTCGTGACCGATGAACACGAGCGAACCCCGCACCCCCACCCCAGCCCCGACCCCTCACAACCCCGCCTCTTAAGCACCAGCTCCTTCCATAACGCAACCCTCCACAAACCTCCCCAACCCTCGTTCTCTCCAACTCCAACTATGTCTTCCCAGGTTGGAAACGTTTGTCATTCCCAACTCCCTACAACCTTTTTTATACAATTCCCTTTCCTCTACAATACTCCCCCTCTTTCTTTCTACAGTTCCCCTCTTCTTACAATCCTTCTCTTCTTACTGTTCTTCTTTCCCTAGAATCTTCTCCCTATATACAATGCCCCTTCTCATGCACCCATGACACCTAACCCTCCCTACACATGCTAGCTGAACCCTCCCACTCCCTCCAACACCCACTGCACTCCCCATCTTTTTCAACCTCTTCCCCTCCCTCTTATCAAGGCACTTTACTTCCCCATCACTGCTCCTCATCATGCCATCCTGCCACCCTACCCCCATATCTTCCCTGGTCTTCCCCATTCCACCATTCCTTCCCTTATCCCCCCGGGGGTATTTTATAAATAAATTTGTCACGTAAGTAAATCATAACATATTTATTAATCCTTTATTTATATCACGCCATCAATTTCCGGGGAAAGGAAATTTAGTGTAGGCGTCCCGTAGTCATTACCAGTTGACATGATTATTTATGTTGAATTTTTTAATTTTTTATGTTGATAATGAAGTTACAATGAAGGTAACATCGTGCGCTGGCCAACGCCCCGTAGCCCTCGTCTTACCTTCCGCATTCCTGCGTTAATTGTGCCTTAATATACACTCAGGCAAATGAGTGAGACTTTATACAAATAAAGGCCTTATCGCGCACTGGGAGAAATAAGCGAGACTTTGGACAAATAGCGATGCACGTTTTGCCTTTTTTTTGGGTCATCTTGACCCAGTTTGAATCGGCAATAAGGGCGTATCAGTGCTACGTGCAGTAAATGTGTCATCATTTGGACAAGATGATCCAGTCATATTTCTGAGTGATTAACTTGTTTGATTGAGTTGGAAGAAACTTAATGGACATTGGCTTAAAGTTAATTAATACTTTGCTATAGGATACTTAAGTTAATAGTTACTGGATAAATAGCAAGCAGTGAAGTTATCACTCAAGTCGAGAAAACCCAATGCATGTTTTTATAAGGAAAACGTTGGTTGGTTGTCTTGATTTAATACAAATTAATATATTAATCGGCGTCTAATCATCGAGTGTTTACCGACATACTTTACGAAGTTTATGCCGAGACCCATGACCCATTTTTATACCAATAACCTAGACTCAGAATTATGCTTAAGATAGAAATATTATAATTATATGCATACTGTGGATTATCTCACAATTTTTTATGTTTATGTAGTGAAATTCTGTGGGAACGTTGTTTTTTTCGGCTGGTAGGTACTACTAAGACCATAGTACCGTAAATACCATTCATGAATGGGCTTGTTTTCAGTCGATGAATGACGCTCGTAATGTTATTATAGTAATGGTTAAATTAATCAGCACGTCGCAATAATAGTGATAAGAGTTAATAATGTGATCAGTTTTATCCTAGCGGACAATTCAAGAAAATTAATAGTGAGGCTTGCTGATTTAGGAAACGATTATTTGATTGTGGTTGGGTTCACCATCACAGGTGTGGTGCTAGGTTCACCATCACGTGTGTGGTGGGTTCACCATCACGGGTGTGGTGGGTTCACCATCACGGGTGTGGTGCTATGTTCACCATCACGGGTGTGGTGTTGGGTTCACCATCACGGGTGTGGTGCAAGGTTCACCATCACGGGTGTGGTGCAGGGNCTGCACCGATTTCTCTTCTATACTGGGCGGTACAGAAAAGTCTGGTCAGGTCAGTCAGCTCTGAAAGAATGTCCAAAAACCGCGATCGCTGCCAGTTTCCTCGCTGCAGTGACATGTAAGCAATTCCATGATCTTGCATCGAGTTCAATTTCTCGCCGGAATTGCCATCTGGCAATTGCAATTTGGCCATTGCCATCGGGAAATGGCGGCGTGGCAATCAAGTTTGACCACTGATGGCTGTTTGTGCTGCGGCCGCGGCGGTGACAGTCCGACTGCCGTGCGCAGCGCTGACTTGTTTCTACGTTTGTGCGGCAACTTGTCATGTGTCAACTTGGCATGTGTCAACTTGTCATGTGGCAGCTCGTCATGTGTCAACTTGTCAACTGGCAACTTGTCATGTGGCAACTTGTCATGTGTCAACTTGTCATGCGTCAACTTGTAATGTGGCAGCTTGTCATGCGTCAACTTGTAATGTGGCAGCTTGTCATGTGTCAACTTGTCATGTGGCAACTTGTCATGTGGCAACTTGTCATGTGTCAACTTGCCATGTGTCAACTTGTCGTGTGTCAACTTGTCGTGTGTCAACTTGTCAAGTGGCAACTTGTCATGTGTCAACTTGTCAAGTGGCAACTTGTCATGTGTCAACTTTGTCATTTGTCAACTTGTCATGTGTCAACTTGTCATGTGTCAACTTGTCATGTGTCAACTTGTCATGTGTCAACTTGTCAAGTGGCAACTTGTCATGTGGCAACTTGTAATGTGTCAACTTGTCATGTGGCAACTTGTAATGTGTCAACTTGTCATGTGTCAACTTGTCATGTGTCAACCTGTCATGTGTCAACTTGTCATGTGTCAACC